CTCTAAGCTCTCTCTATGTCAACAGTATCTTGTTAAATGGGAGGCCCCCAGCCACGACACAGGAGGTCCCCAGCACCAGCACGGATGGACAGCCGCGGAACCAGGTGAAGGCAGAACGTCACTCCAGGACCTCCACCATCATTCCCGGACTTCACAAGATACCCCTCACCTCCCCCCAAGAGCCAACCAACGCCCACTGTTCAGCTGGAAGCAGTCTTTGAGAGAAACGTCGCCCCCGTACCCAGTCAACCACAATTTTTCTTTTTTTAAAAAGTAAAAGAGTCGGGAATGAAGGGTTTACAACACGGTCGCATTTACCAGGCGGACACTTCCGCCTAGCCATTTCCGGATCAAAAGCGTCCCTCGTAGCTAGGATACCCGGTGGGCCCGGATATCTCTGCCCAGCAAGTTCCGGGACAAGGGGTCTCGCATGATCAGGGTCCGTAACATTGCATGGTCATGTAAGCGCGCAACGTGACCATGTGATCTGCGCACATGTGTAGAGTAGTGACGTGACCTGGCCACGCCCCCAGCCGGTTTTAAAAGTCCAGCGCCATTTTCCCCACTCCCCTCTTCTCCATGCATGTGTCTCTCCCACAGGCCTGCACTCTCTGTCACTTTGTTTTCTAATAAACTCTCATAAGCAGATTCTGTCGTGTTTCGTGACATTTCCTTACAGGGTAAGAATACAACGCAGCCAGAAAACTAACACATACTCTGCCACAAAGCAAGTCTCAACAAATCCCAAAAATTGACCACTATGGATTAAAGCTGGATTTCAACAACAACAGAAACAAAAAGCCTACAAACAAATGGAAATTGGACAACTCTCTACTGAGTTACCAGTGGGTCATGGAAGAAATAAAGAAATTAAAGACTTCCTAGAATTCATGAAAATGAATAAACAATACAGCCAAAATTATGGGACACAATGAAAGTAGTGCGAAAAGGAAAGTTCATAACACTGTCAACATAAAGAATTTGGAGAGATCTCACACAAAAGAAGCAAATGCATGGAAGAGCAAATGGCAGGAAATAATCAAACTGAAGGCTGAAATCAATAAAACAGAAACAAAGAGAACAATACAAAGAATCAATGAAACAAAGAGTTGGTTCTTTGAGAAAACCAATAGACAAACTCTTATCTGAAGTACCTAAAAGACTAAGGGATAATATTCAAATTAACAAAATCAGAAAAGAAAAGGGAAAATCCAAAGATTCATTAGATCATGCTTCAAAAACCTGTATTCAATAAAACTGGAAAATCTAAAAGAAATGGACAATTTTGTCACCAAAAAATTAAATCAAGATCAGATAAACAATTTAAATAGATCTATAACTCTAAGAGAATATGAACACTCATTAAAAGTCCCCCACAAACAAACAAACAAACAAACAAAACACCCAGGGCCAGATGGTTTTGTGATACCTCAGTAACCGCCCCCACACACACTCTATCCCCTACAGACAAAGAGAAGCTTAAACCAGGATTCCTAAGTGTAGATAAGAACTTAGACCCCCTTTCCCCAGGTGGCTGTATCTGCTACAGGGACTTTGGAAAACACAGTCAGGATATTCGACCAAAAGACTAAAAAGGGAGGTGGGTTAAAATAAATTATATGGTCTGTGCCTTTAAGAACTAGCTTCACAAAGAAAGGGGAGTGCTCCTTCCAACCTCCCTGCTGTGAGTGAGAGATTTGGAAGAGCCTCC